TTTCATCAACCGCATCCCACTCTATAGCCTAAACAAGTTCATTTTATTTTAATTTCGATTTATTAAATAAATCTTTTTGATGTTGTTACACAGAGTTAAGTAAATTGTGTACTTAGGTTCAAGTGTCTTGTGCATATTAGTTTACTTCAGCTAACAAATATTTAAATCACTTGATGGGGGCTTTTAAGTAATGCCAGGAAAGGAGACCAGTCGCAGGGGTTAAATGAGCACCTGGATTATATCGCAGTGGGTGTATCCAGATATCTATCTATCCCTTCTCCTTCTCCTGTGGATACAAGTACAGCAACTTTCATTTCATGGAACGAGCCACTCGCTGTTTTCTTGGCTATCCAGGACTGTCTAGGATTAACATAGCTTAGATAATAGTCCAGTTTCTCACGTGGGTGGGCATTGTTAAGGTTCAAACCCACACCCTCACTATATCAGTGTATTTACCCACGTGGGCGCGCGACAACGAGTCTTCATGTAACAGTGCCTTTTATAACCAGAAAACCCGCTCTCCCATTCCGTGGTACACCTGTATGTCCCAGACAGTATAACCATTCGAGTTACTGTAATGCTGAAGTGCTGATGCTTGTCGTCTACTTATGCCGCTTGTGTTTACACTAAATCTTTATCAACACTGACTAGGAAAAATATCAAGGCATTAACTGGTTAATGTTTACATCTTAGTATAAACAATGAAGCTTAGGTGTTGCGAGCCTGACTCGTAATTCCGACGTACTGCGATCGAAACCCACTGCTGGCTTAGTGGATATTTATCATGGTACAGGGCGTCGCAGGTTGACCTAGGCTAAAATTGGTACCAGGATGTATGTCCTGGGGAAGTAGAACCGGTCGTTGTAATGCTGATCACATTACCCACCTAGTGTCGATCGGTCTGTAAAAATATGGTTGCTCTTCCCATTTCCCGATGCGCCTAAAGTGTGAAAAAGGGATCTTAACTTTTCTTTTAATTTAACTTATAAATAATGAAATCTTCAAGATAAACTGTTTACAACTTTAGCAGGAGAAATACGCATATACTCTAGTAATGGACTTCATGTTTCTGAAACATTGTTTCTGCAAAGAGGTACACTCTCAACAGATCACACTATACCTTTCCAATACCACCAAATCCGATATGATCTAAAGCTGTCTGAAAGGCGTCTGGAAGGGAAGGGGTAAACAGGGTTTTGTGATTAGCCTGCATGCATCCTGTGCTGACCGTAACTACCACATGGTCTGCTTCCACCAGGTTACCGCTTCTGCAGGTGATCACAACTTTACCGTCTGTGCGAGCTTCCTTGACTGAGCTCTGCATTAAACAAAAATGCATATATAAATGCATACATAAATATAGATGGTACATCTCACGAACTCGGGTCCAGAAATAGAGTGACTTCCCTTGCTTATGTTGCAGGGAGTGGTCACTCCAGCAACACAACGAATTTTACAGTGTTGTAACGGCCGGTGATATCGTGTGGCCTATATTCCCCCGATGTGTGCGCTTTCAACCGTCCCAAAACATGTAGAACTGGCCCTAACTCAAACCTTCTACACCACAGTCACAGCCTACGTCCCACCAGAGAGTGCAGCCAACGTCTAACGACTGCACGCTGCCTATGACAACAACACGTACAATACCTTCTGTTGCTGGACGCTTCCTAAGCGTGACACCCCTGCAAGGGTAGAACAAGACCTACGACGTGACCAAGGATAAATTGCAAGGGAAGTCACTCTTTTTCTGGGCTCAACTTCGTGAGTTATTTCACACACACATGCGCGCGTACACGTGCGCACTTACGCACGCACATACACACATACACATACGTTCACCTGACGTCCAAAAGTTTTTGGGGTATTTTTTGTGTGCGCAAAATTGCCTTGGCTTCCAGGTCGACCTAGCATAAAGGTTATCTCCTGGGAAGTAAAGGTCGGTCTAATGGTAAACCGAGTGCCTAATGGTCTATACAACTGTGAGTCAATGATTATATTATGAATGCATCACTGGCGTTAAACTTTAGTGTTACTTTACTAAGAAAACAATATGAAAGAATCAAAGATTCAAAGTAACGTCTTCCTGTTGTCTATGTCAATAAAGCAGACACACACGGTATATTGTTAAGTTTATTACCAGACATACTTGGTTGTACCGTATATTGTTAAGTTTATTACCAGACATATTTGGTTGTATCTATCTAGCTGTACAAAATATAGAATACACATCTGCATGAAGCATACAAGTGAAACAGCAATGCAGAAATCTCCTTGTCGATCGGTTGACTGTACACATGTACACCAGTCAACAACAACAAAAAGTCACACTTCCATGGCACAAATCTGCTAGACACCAAGCCAGTAACTGCTAGGAAGTGTGTCTTAGAAAGTAATTTACCAAGCAAGGAACAGGCAGATCTGTTTTATGGTCGGTAAACGTCTGGACAGTCTCACATGCACAGTGAAACATACGACTATGTGTGTGGTATGTGTAGTCTAGTCGAAAGGATTAATTGTTATGCTCCATGTATGTTGATATACGTTGTCTAGTAGGCGCTTGAAAAGATACAGTGAAAAATGCCAGGCAATAAATTGTAGAGTCCAGTGTGTGTGTCCTCTTTTCGATACAGTTTGGTCTTTTATTTGAATACCGTGAATTCTGGTGTTTAATGTATTTACGGACCCTCTAGATGGCAATAATGTCCACAAATTATTAAAGATTAGATGGTCATTTTAAATCTCTTCTTCTTCTTCTTCTTCTTCTTCTTCTTCTTCTTCTTCTTCTTCTTCTTCTTCTTCTTCTTCTTCTTCTTCTTCTTCTTCTTCTTCTTCTTCTTCTTCTTCTTCTCCTTCTTCTTCTTCTTCTTCTTCTTCTTCTTTTTCTTCTTCTTCTTCTTCTTTTTCTTCTTCTTCTTCATCATTTTCTTCTTCTTCTTCTTCTTCTTCTTCTTCTTCTTCTTCTTCTTCTATCTTCTTCTTCTTCTTCTTCTTCTTCTTCTTCTTCTTCTTCTTCTTCTTCTTCATCATTTTCTTCTTCTTCTTCTTCTTCTTCTTCTTCTTCTTCTTCTTCTTCTTCTTCTTCTTCTTCTTCTTCTTCTTCTTCTTCTTCTTCTTCTTCTTCTTCTTTTTCTTCTTCTTGTTCTTCTTCTTGTTCTTGTTCTTCTTCTTCTTCTTCTTCTTCTTCTTCTTCTTCTTCTTCTTCTTCTTCTTCTTCTTCTTCTTCTTCTTTTCTTCTTCTTCTTCTTCTTCTTCTTCTTCTTCTTCTTCTTCTTCTTCTTCTTCTTTCTTCTTCTTCTTCTTCTTCTATCTTCTTCTATCTTCTTCTTCTTCTTCTTCTTCTTCTTCTTCTTCTTCTCTTCTTCTTCTTCTTCTTCTTCTTCTTCTTCTTCTTCTTCTTCTTCTTCTTCTTCTTCTTCTTCTTCTTCTTCTTTTTTCTTCTTCTTCTTCTTCTTCTTCTTCTTCTCTTCTTCTTCTTCTTCTTTCTTCTTCTTCTTCTTCTTCTTCTTCTTCTTCTTCTTCTTCTTCTTTTTCTTCTTATTCTGCATTCGCTCCTAAACGGGTGGTTTTATGGTTTACAACTAGGGCGCGATATCAACATCTGCACATTTTGACCTAACACGTCCAATTTTAACAAAATCTGAATAGTTATGTTTTTTTACGACAGAAACGATGAAGGGTAGTGAGTTTATTCTTTACCCCCCAACCACATTAAAGGACCTCCTCCCTTTCCTCCCCCACGAAGAATGTCTACTTCATGTCTGCCATCATCTGTTAATGCATGCAAAGAACAGCAGACACTTGTTACTCTTTCTATTATCTCTCCATTTCAGTGATGCTCATAGTTGGCATCTCCTTTCTTCCATTGCAAATTATGATTGTATCACAGAATAATTTGCTAGCAAATATGTCTGTAGTCAAAATATTATAATAGTATAATGTCTTTTAGGAAGGGAAAAGGGGGGGGGGGGGCAGTGGGTCGCGGTTCTTATTATTTAAGCAGGACGAACCCAGTTAATATTTGTCACAGGGGTGTTCAGCTGGAAAAGCTCCTCAGGAACTAAGCCGCAAATGGCTTTCAGTAATGCTGCCATCCCCCCATGCGTGTTTGTGAAACGGTCTCCTGGTAACACATTGTACTGAGAAGCTCCCCAAGCAGATACGTCATTCAGGTCTGCTACGGCGTTGTCTATTTTGTGATATGCTACATACCATCTGTGAAGGGAAAAACATCTTTGTTGTTGGTGTTGTTATAAGTTTAAAATAATCAGTGTTATGCTAGTCTGTCTGGTAGTCTGTCTATCTGCCTGTCTAAATATCCGTCTATCTGTAGGTCTGCTATCTACCTATGTCTCACACATACAACACACACACACACACACACACACACACACACACACATGTATATTTCCTGGAAATCTATTAGGTAGGAAAGAGTACGAGAGAACCCTACTCTGCACGACATGATCTAGATCATATACAGACAGACCTAATATTTCACACTTCAATAACTGCTCTGGACAACTTTTACTTATTTTGATTTGTGAATGAAGTCAGCTTCTAGAATATACTTTAATGAAGAAGAATGAGACCACAAGGACATATAGAAAATGTAATAAATATGTCTTCAATGCGGTTATATCACAGAGATAAACTGATCGTCATTTCAGAAATAGGCAGTGAACGTTTGTTCTGCGTGGCATGAAAATGTAAAAACTGGAGTACGAAGTGAAAGCGGGAAAGTAGCAAAGGAATAAAACTATAAGGAGGCAGACAGATGATGCTGGACACTCACTAATCAAGGCATGAAAGAACACCTGTGGCAGAAAAGACCAACAGTACCCCTGACAGAAGGTTGTGAAGAGATGTGACTACCAGCGCCACAAGGCACTCATTGTAATCATATTTACACGAAGAAAGTAAACATCCTGCTTATCAGATTATTTAGCTTTTAATGTTCAAACAGATTTTTGTGTTTTACTGATTGTTCTTCGAATGCTAGCTTTTCAATGTGTTTTGTACGGGCGTCTGTGGCTTGAGGATAGGGAATGCATTTCGACATTCCGTTGTTCAAAGTCAGTGGCAGGCGATGTGGTACTGTTGTGTGTTGATTTTGACAAAAGTGAGCGAGTCGAGTGGTTCAGAAAGCAGGGACAAGATAATGCAAGTAAAATAGCCTGGCTAAAAAAGCCAGCCAAACAAGTTGTGTTTTGTTTTTAATTTACCATGTCCTATAAAGGTTATGCAGCTAACGAACTAACAACTGACATGTCAGAGAACGGTGTCAAGCTGTCAGACTTGTGCAGGGTTCTAGTCACAGTGGGTGGGGAGGGCAGTAATTGGCCAGTAGGCTCTGCAGAATCATAAATTCAACAATTGATTCATGACAATTCTCACCTACCTGTTGTGATTATCTTTACAGATGGCTTTGCCTGGCGGAAAATTGCAGTGCCCTAATCGCAACAAGGAATTGTTTGTGTTTTAAACCACGGATCAACATCATGGCACAAGGGTAGTTACCCATAAGTGCTCCATTCTACTTCTAACTCAAGCCTGAGTCCGACGAATCTCAGCAGACCGCACGAGCTCTGTAGCACCGGCTACGATCTTGAATTACTTTAGTGTAGATTTTTAACTCCAAATTTTACCGGGCAGCGCCGTTAGGCTACTTTTTTCGATTTCAAACTGCCAAGAGATTTTGTACGTAGCAACATTACACACGGGAGTCCAATCTCACTACCCAGAGACCAGGGAAAATTACCAGAAGTACACGTGAACCTGGGATCTCCAGCACTCGAGGCGGATGCCATACCACGAGACCACTAAGCCTTCCTGAGTGGAATGGGCGTCGCCTAGTTCAATATAGCCTAGAATGTGGTACCGCATCGAATTTGATATTAGAGGTGGTGACAGTTAGATCAGCTTTTTCCTGCCTCAATAATTAGCTGCCCGCACATCTCGTGATTGTAACAGACTCACAAAGCATCGCTTCTGAGGTCCACAGGGCTAGCGTCCTTTGGAACATTTCTTCGAGTCATCTTAGTGTATAGGGAAACGAACACCGGGACAGAATGGCTGGTGTTATCCACTGGGTGGTGAAATGATGCATGGTCAGGATATCTGGGAGCAAGTTAGCATTAAACAAACTTAGCACTGGAACTATTCATTGACTGCTGAAGATGAGGACGGGCCGCTTATGAGAATCTCCCGAGTGGTGTTGCTGTGTCGATTCTCTAACTCATCATATTTGCGAAATAACATCATTACTTAAACAAAGAAAAATAAAAAAGTTTTTTAAAAAAAAGCTTGACCTGTAAACCGCATCATAGAGTTCAATCTCAGCATGTGACAAGGTCTCTCTCCTTGGACTCAGAAACTTTTGATAAGCTCGAATGAACAGTTCGCCATCACTGGTCCTGCTACCACATGGTATTTTGGTAAACCGGATGTTAAGTTCACTATCTAGAAACTGGAGAAGAGGGAGGACTTTGTGGCCGTCAATCTGTGGAGATGAATATCGAGGAAGTAACCTAAATAGATTCGGACATAAGTGTCGTAAATGATAGCGTAAACGTCCACCTGGCGTACACGTCAACCTCAAGATTTTTACCCAAAATGTTTAATTATACACATATTGCAATTTATACCCGCTATATACTTCGATAAACAGTTCTGGAAAGATATTTTAGAGACAGGTATTGGTTAGAAATAAAAAATTAACAATAACAATAAAAGTAAAAATATATCCATCCAGACAAAACACTGATCGAAATCTTTAGAAATTTTTTTTGGATATTTTTTTTTTCAATTTTTGATCCAGTTTTCTTCTGGCCACACGTGGTATAGCGATAGTTGGAATAAAACACAGGGTTTGTAAAAAAAAAAAAAAAAAAAACTAGAGGGCAGGAATGCTCCGTAGGAATATACAGTAAGGTCGAAGGATTGAGAGAGATAGACTAATCGTACACTACAGACTCATTAACAATATGTGCACGAATTTCAAGACTGGGAACACGTAAGTTTGCCCATATTGACAACATCATTTTCATAATCCTTTGCTTGCCTCTAGACGTCACATTTGGGCTTGCATCCGATGCTTCCACTCAGCTCTACCTCATGCAATTCTCTCGATTGCTGGCATGAAGTTTAGCCCGGCATGTTTAGCCTCTTGTAATATTTTTCTTAGTGTTGACAGGCACCAGTAAATAATGAAGATGTACTTCAGACACGATCACTACAAGCAGTAGAGGGGACCTGGGTCTGGTCATTTGGCATTTTGGTGGCAACCAAGCTATACGGATAGAGTGACCATAATATCTTGCGCTGAAAAGGGGAAATCCCCCTAATATTTTGACCTGAAAACCACCATACATCCCAATCAAGTCAGTTTAACCCCACTGCACGCCCCCCCCCCTTCCCCTAGATTAGCAGGCTGAAATGGTTCTTACTTGCCCAACAATCGTATTAAATTTCGAACCAATGTCGCCAACAAATAAATTAAACAATATGTTCTGAAATTATGTGGGATGGGAGCGGGGGTGGTGGAGGCGGGGGGGGGGGGGGGGGGGGGGGGGGGGTGGAGCAATATTCTACTATAAAATTTTCCATCAACACATGGCATACATAAAATGAATCTGTTCTAGGATATGTTCCCTTCTTGAGGCAATTCCTAGATTTTTACAAAACGGGACAATTCGCGTTTTTTAGAATAGCGACTGGACGGCACACCTAACAGAGGTTGCCCCGGCGAAAACAGGACGTATGGTCCCCTTGTATATGAACTAGTGCGTGACACTTCATCCGTGTCCTATCCTTGGTGTGTGCCGAACAAATTTTTCCACAGGAAATAAAGGGGGAATGATTATTCTATTCCCACGGGGGTGATGGAGGGGAACACTTTCATATTGTCTGTAGCATATTATTCGCCCATTGGGTTGTACACAATAATTTATATACTGTATAATACTTAACAGAAAACTCCAGTACACAATTAGATGTAATAAATGTTTGACCTTTTTTTTTTAACCTACATGACAAGAGTCTAGTGCCTATTTTGATGGTACTGAGAAGGACGAGGAGTAGATGTTACTGTTTGAAGGAAAGTCTCCTTCCAATAAAACTCCTGATATCTACCATTCTTGCCACCCCCCCCCCCCTCCCCCCGCTTTCGTAATTTCTCTACTTGGACCTGGCTGAGACTCATCAGGTTTGACTTCTACTAAATATCTGTCCAAAGAACTTTGCTCCTGACCTCTCCTTTCGATATTTCGGAAATGTGACATTGTCTGGTCATGCCAGACAATGCTATTACGGCTTGTTTTTAGCTTTGTTGAAGGGGAGGTATACTTCTCTGTAAAGTCACTGACATCTATCCTTGACTTTGTCTCGAGAGAGATAAACAAAGAAATGGCGCAGTGTTGTGACTAGGTTTGACCTATACCAGTTAGTTTTCCAAAGGTATACCAAACAACAGTTTTTGCATCTAAACAGGACGTATACACGTTAAATGTACATCAAAGCGAACGTAAAGCGAGGTACCACTGAATTTATCTCTTTCGTACCGTTTTTTTTTTTCTCTCTAAAATTTGTCCGCCAGTTTATTTTCCAGTATGTGTTGATCGTCATCTAGCCATATGCCATTTTTACTTTCATTCTTTTAGGCCATTGTTGTTAGTTTGGCTGTCCAGGATACTCACAGTAACGTCACAGACAGTATTGCTCTGTTGATTGCAAGCTCTTTCTATTTTCTTCGTTCACACTGCGAGATTCATTGACATACAACATAGCAGGATCGTATATATCACTGATCTCTTCCTACTATTCAGCTGCAGTACAGTGACTTGCACACCTGCCCTGATGGTTATGTTTTCTAAATTCAAACAAGGCCAAGATTATAATTTTTTTATTTTTATTTCTTTATCTATTTTGCTATTTAGCTATTGATATTTTTAGCTGTCGAGTACCGAATAGTACAAACAACTAAGGCACTAGGTACACCTAGCTAATACGCTTTAATGGGGTTATCCACGTCATTATTATTCTAGCTTTTAATGAAAGGGACATTATAAAACACATTTGTAATTATATGACATTTGCGTTAGCTTTGAATAGTTTGCTCTAAATATCGTATATCTACTTTATTACATAATGAACTGATCAATCCTGCAATTGTCTTTTTTTCCCTGTCTTTTTTCTGTCTTTCTTTCTGGCTTTCTTTCTGTCTTTCTTATTTCTTTCTTTCTTTCTTTCTGTCTTTCTGTCTTTCTTCTTTGTTTATTTGTTTGTTTGTTTGTTTGCTTGTTTGTTTGTTTGTTTGTTTTTTTGGTTTGTTTGTTTGTTTCTTTCTTTCTTTCTTTCTTTTCGACGATACCATATTTAACCTATTTATTTTCGATCAATGTGAATACTGTTGATTTTGTTAGTTTCTCAACCGTGGTTTGTGGCATATAAACAGTCGTTTGTTCACCACATTGTACGCGTGCGTGCTTTAGGTATGTTCAGAAGGACAGAAAACAAATATGTAAAGAGGAATGGTGGGAGAAAATGTATGTGTGTATGTCTGAAAGAGAGAGAGAGAGAGAGAGAGAGAGAGAGAGAGAGAGAGAGAGAGAGAGAGCAGAAGGGTAGACGAAAGGGAAGAGAGAAGAACTCAGAGCTGTTCACACCTTTTCTCCGCTGGACGTGAGGAATTCTCTTGGCGCATTTTGTAGTTTCGTGCTCTGGTACTGGTCTTCAAGGTGCACAACCGTGCCAAGTTTTTGTGCGATGTCAAATGCAGGATTTCCCTCCCTTCCGTGGATAAACTGGGCGCCAAGATCAATGTTTTTGCCATCTGTTTATCCCAGACAGAATAGAAACGATTTTTTTATCAGTATCTTGTCGCAAAACACTTATCGTGGAATGGTTACACACATTCACATACAGAACAACTTATATACAGTCAAGACAAAGGGATAAGCTGGAGAAGGGATGCATAAGACTGTGCAGTTTAACAAAAAGAAACAATTCAGCACACATTCGGGTGTATTGTGCATATTACCCAAGTACTAAATTCATATAGGCGAATGGACACAGAGCAGCTAATACGGTCAACGTCACGCCGGCTGTTTATACTATCTAGATATTCTAGAACATTTCCTAGTAGCCACTTCAGGCTTGTGTTGATTCCAGTCTACGATAACTGCACCGACACGTAAACGTGCTGCTTCCTAAGCGTACCAGGATGCCAATGTCAGTTGGGAGGAAAAAAACATAAGTGAACCACCCTTTTTGAAGCGTTTTTGTAATGCCATACTCATCTTATATAGATTTTTAATGCCATACTTATCTTTTATAGATTTGTAATGCCATACTCATCTTTTATAGACCAACAGGACCCGGTGGGAGAAAGTCTAAGGACTCGGTTGTGTTGTGTTAAAGTACCACCCTGGCTTTTTCCAGGGGCCCTCTTATAACCCAACTAATTGGTTGAACGGGGTTTCTGGAACCTGTCTCCGGGTGATCCTCAGCCGAACGGTGGCAGTTTGAGCCACCAGGTGTTTATCACTAGGTGTGATGTCCTGGTGGGGTTGAACGTCAGTTAGTCAGGATGACAAGGTAGCAAACAAACACTGGAAGAATGTCTAATACCTACCAACAACTTGACCCTTGACGCGGCCTCCAATGTAGTCCTGAGCCTCAAGAACCTCCACGTCCGACACACCGTTGTTGACTAACCAGGCGGCTGCAGTGACGCCAGCAACACCGGCACCAACAATGACAACTTTAGGTGATGAGGTGTCCATCTATCTTAATAGCGTTTTACTTTCAACTACGATGGAATTACCTAGGTGACACACATGTAAACACGATAAGGCTGACAATGATCCGATAATATACATCAATCATATGTTGTTTTACCTACCTTTGTGAATCTCCTCAGAGTGATATTTAGAGTTAAATGACTCTGTGTTGGGTATATGATGTTGAACTTAAATTTTTTTAAACTATAGACCTTGACTGGCTATGTGGTCAGCATTACACCTGCAGCCTTTACTGCCCAGGGCATTAAGTGACACCCGTTTTAGACGGTCAACCTGACATTACGCGTTCATATTCGCCTCAATAGAGATTCGAACCCGAAATGCGAGCAACTACTATGCTATCTCGGCTCCCTAAATTTTTATATAATTTAATATGGCAATACTAGCTTTGACCAAATATACATAATATGTCAAGTTTACGCATCAGTGATAACGTTGATAAACTCAATGTGTTTCCGTCGAACAGAGATTACGAACATAGGTAGGTAGGTAGTTGTATCCCACCAGGAAATCACACAAGCGATAAACACCTGGTGACACAAAGTACCACCATGCGGATGAGGATCACCTGTGGAGAGGTCATAGAAACCCCTTTCAACCGTTATTCCATATCTATGGCCAGGCTATATTCACGGCCCCGGTAGAAGCCATAGTGGGGCTTCAAATAACAACAAATTACATCCTTCATGGTGACGACATTTAATATGATTACGAAGCAATATATTTCTCTACAATAGTCTAGGGATATAAAAATATAAACGGTTTAGGAAATATGCCTATATGTGTGCGTGGGTGTGTGTGTGTAAAAGAGAGAGAGAGAGAGAGAGAGAGAGAGAGAGAGAGAGAGAGAGAGAGAGAGAGAGAGAGAGAGATTGGTTACAGCAAATAAGGTGCTACTGTCTGGTAACACTGCAGAACGAATATGTGCCAACAATTAAAAGAAGTGCATCACCCCACACGATCTTCCTGTCAAGAACATGACACTAATGTCAGAACTGACAAACCAAAGAATGAATCAAAAGTGTTGTTGTTTGAGAGAACACGTGATCAGACGCACGCGTCAATCACTTTGAATTGTAGCAAATCAAAACTCTTGTGCTTCTTCTTGTGCAGTGTTGCCACTTTGGATCTTTTGTATCCAAATTTAGATCTTTTTCATTGCGTTTAGATCCTGTTTTTGACGTTTAGATACTAAATATTTTTCTAGATTCTTTTCATATGGAGTTAGATATTTTATAGATTTTTTTCTTTTAGTGTCATTTTAATAATTATTGAGTAAAATATTTACTAAAATATTTTTGTTTTGGTCTGGCACGTACATTGTGGCAACTGCCATTACTTAAACTTTGAACTCTCACTAAGGTCAACACTCAAATATCTGACAACCCCGGTGCTGATTAATCGAATCGCGCGTAAATCATACTAACTTTGTTTCAACCGTATCCTCACTGTGTTGTGAAGTATAGCTGTGATGCTGACTCTGTGTTTCTTTTTCATGTGATATTTAAAAAATAATTGCTCACCTTCTTGTGTGGCTTTCACTTTGAAAAAAACCTTTCAACATGCCAAAAGTAAAGTATGAGTAAAAATTGCGGAAAGAGTATTTGCATGATGACAAAATTAAAGACTGGGTGATGGCAGTTCCTGGGGATATAACCAAAGCTCGTTGTAAGTACTGCAAGTGTGAAATTAAAGCGAAAATACAAGACTTAAAGAAGCATGCAGAGACTAACAAGTATAAAACTGCAGTTCCATTCAAAGATATTACACCGCTGACATCTGTTTTTCAGAACTACACTGATAAATGAATCATCAAAAGTTGAAGGGTCGGTCGCAATGTTTTTAAGTTGCCATTGTGCAATTTCAAACTGACCATTTGATTGATTTGTTTAAAAACACAATTTCTGACAGTAAAGTTATGGATGATGTGAAAATGCATCGCAGCTAGTGTACACATATTATAAGAAATACTTTATTTTCTCACTTCGAAAAAGGTTTGATCAGTGATATTTCTACAAATAAATATAGTTTATTATTAGACGAATCAAATGATATTTCGGTACTGAAAGTGCTTGGTGTGTGTATTATATATTACAGCAACAATACAGACAAAGTAGTTTCTACATATCTTGGACTAGTTCAATTGGAAAAGTGTGATGCAGAAAGTATAGTTCAAGAACTGAAGAACCTTTTAATCAGCAAACAGTTAGACTTGACAAATTTGGTTGCAATTGGTACCGATAATGCCTCAGTGATGGTTGGTATAAACAATGGCGTTTATACCAAGTTGAAGGAAGCTATCCCATCGTTAATACTTATAAAATGTATGTGTCATTCATTGCAGCTAGCATTATCACATGCTTCATCTGAATGTTTACCAAGGAATTTGGAATACCTTATTGCTGAAACACATAGCTGGTTTTCAAAATAATTTGTCAGACAACAGCAATACAATGCATTGTATTCAGCCTTAAATAATGGTCCCACGCCACTGAAAATTCTGTCAGATTGCAAAACCAGGTGGTTATCAATACAACCAGCTGTTGAAAGAATTGTGAACCAATGGTTGGAGTTAAAGACACATTTTGAAATAACAAGACAAAGTGAAAAGTGCTACACAACTGAGATACTATATGGAATGTACAGTGATGAAAAAAATTTGGCATTCCTTCTCTTTTTACAACCTTTTCTAATGGAAGTGCAAAAAGTTAATAAACTGTTCGAATCCAAACATGTTGATAAAGTTAAATTACTTGACGATCTCACTTTGCTATTTTACTCAGTTGGTAAAAGACTGGTGTTGCCAACTTCAAAAGTTGATTTGCTCACTTGCACTATAGAGAGCTATTTGGCTCTTAAGCCATACCTTGGATATCAAATTGAATCAAAAATTGATGATTTAAAAACAAAAGGACTGTTAACAGAGAATGAAGAGAACAACTTAAGAAAACGCTGTCAAGATTTCCTTATCTCATTATTCAAGCAACTAAAGCAGAGACTTCCTGAAAATCTAGATGTATTGAAACATATTTCACTCTTTTCTGTGAGCAACATACTTCAGCCAGTAAAGGACATACCTAAATATTGTAAAGTTATGAAATTTTTAGGGGCTACTGACAATAGTGTCGCGGAAGCAGAATATCAGTTAACCAAAATAATCTTAGTTGAATGGACAAACAAAACAGAAACTGAAGCGTTTTGGAGTGAAGTGAGACAATTTAAAGATGCCTCATCAAACAGTCCATTCTGTAAACTCTTTGAATGTGCCATGTCTGCCATGATACTACCCAACTCAAATGCTGACGTAGAAAGAGTTTTCAGTGCTATGAATTACATCAAATCTAACCTAAGAAACAGGATGAAATTAGACCTCTTAAATGCTATCTTGACAATAAAGTTTGGCCTGATGAGAGTAGGAAAATGCTGTTCCACTTATCAGCTCCCTGATTGTGTATTAAAAGAAATTGGAACAGCTAAAGCATACCAGAGTAATTTGGGATCTGAAGCTTCAACTTCATCATCCAAGCTAAGTTTATCCTGTGGATCTTGTGAAGCAGACATCAGTGAAGATGAGGACATGTGTCTATAGGGTAAGTCATTTCAATAGTTTTGTAATTTGTGACTATTTTCATTTGGATATTTTTTTAAATATTTTCCACGCAAATTTAGATCTTTTTAGATATTTTTAAACCCCGTTTTGGATCTTTTTTGTCAAAGAAAAGTGGCAACACTGTAATCTTGTGTCGTCTCAGTGATACCAGGTTGTAGCCCAGCGTCGTGTATTTCTGTATTTATTTTGCGCTTCTCGGGTGGCTTGGGTGGTGGATGTGTTCAACTTTTTGCAGGTCTCATATACACTATTCATCCATTTTTTTCTTGGTCTTCCTCTCGCCTTCCTTCCAGATGTTCTGCTGTAAAAAGTCTCATATCCATTTTGGTCTTTTTGAGGTCTCACTAGTTGGCCGAATCATTTCATTCAATGTCGGTCATTATAATCCAGACATGGCTCTCTCTCTCTCTAGTGCTGGAATTCGTAACGCTGTCTCTTCTTGTTTTATTAATGACCGTGCAGAGACAACGCATTTCACATTAGTTATTTTCTGTTATAATGCCCTATTCATTGTCCATGTTTAGCCCTAAAAACATACGGTAGGAATAAAGATGTTATTAATTGGTTGCTGTTTTAGAGACATCTGGGTGTCTAAGCCACGGGACTAACTGCCGCATTTGCCTTCTATACTCTGGCTTCTATCTCTCTTTCGAGTCTGCCACAATCCATCAAGATATTTGAATTCTCGCACCTTTTTTTTTTAAATTGTAATACAGTTTACATGAACATTCATGACATTATTTGCATGGATTATCTTGGTGTGAGAAATCAGTTGTCTTTGAGAGTTTATTTATTTTTAGAAGTCTTCATTACGTTTTGTCCACAGTGCAGTCCTCATTTTTGCCTTTAAAAAACACAGTTTGAACCTCTACACCATTCACACAAATTATGTCCAACAGAGCGTAGGAACCTATGAGATCGGGACCTTTGAAAACACCCACTCCTTATCTTAGACAATTTTAAGGGGCTGAGTACCTCCCTAATCTCTTGTTTGTGTTGTTGGTGCCCCTTGTACGTGATAGACTAAACACATGGCAAACGTGAAATGTGCAGTATCAAGATCGCCGACACACAGAAATCATTGGGTGGAGGAGCCTCAGTTCCTTCCCTGCCTTACACAGTGTGTAGGCATCAGGGGTGTTACCGCTTCCACGATTATAATCCTAGGCTAGAGGAATAATATTAATAATAACGGCAGAATGGCAAATACATACAACAATTATTTTGAAATAATTATATATATATATATTTAAAAAGTATAAGTTACTAATTTCTATACCTGGTTAAATGTCACTACTTAGCCCACTTTCAAACTGTGTGCCTGTTTTTATCATTTATTCACCCCCCCCCCCCCCCTCTCTCCCCCCCCCCC